AGGGACTCGGGGATGGAGGACACGGGAATGGCACGAAGGACATGGAGATGACATGAAGATCCAGGGATGGAGGACACAGGGATGACATGGAGGACACAAAAGGTGACATGGGGATGACACGGAGGACAAGGGGATGTGGGAGATGGCATGGGGACCACCACAGGGCCATGAGATCATGAGGCCATGGGGCCACCACAAGAAGATGAAGCCATGGGACCACCACAGAGCTGCGTGGACACCCTGGAGCTCTGGGGCCACCCCCAGGACAGAATTTCCACCCAATGCAGGACAAGGGAACCACAGGACCCAGGCTCCTGCTTCTCCCCCCACCCAGGACCACATCCCCATGGTGTCCCCTGTCCCCACCTTGGCCCGCTCGGCATCGCGGGCGCTCTGGCCCAGCAGGAAGACGGTGAGCGAGGGCGTCTTGGGTTTTTTGGAGATGTTGATCAGCTCCTTCAGGCGGGGGACGCCCAGGGTGACGTTCTTGGCCGAGACACCGGCGTAGTGGAAGGTGTTGAGGGTCATCTGGGTGGCTGGTTCTCCCAGCGACTGGGCTGCCAGCGCACCCACCATCTCCCCGGGGTGTGCCTGGGGGGGGAAAGGGGGTGTCAGGGGGCCCCAAGAACGTTCCAGAGCTGGACCCAAACCCTTCCTAGATGTGGCTCCAAGGATATCATCAATCTAGACTCAAAATTGCCCCAAATCTGCACAAAAAACATTTCCCAAAGCTGGTCCTAAATCCCCAGATCTGACCCAACCATCACCCCGGGGGGACACAGGGTCTCAGGGGGACCCAAAACCATCCCAGAACTGGACCCAAAGCCCTCCTAGATGTGGCTCCAAGAGTATCATTCATCTAGACTCAAAATTGCCCCAAATCTGGACTAAAAATTTCCCAAATCTGGTCCTAAACCCCCAGATCTGACCCAACCATCTCCCCAGGGGGACACGGGGTCTCAGGGGGGCCCCCCAAAAATGTCCCAGAACTGGACCCAAAGCCCTCCTAGATGTGGCTCCAAGGATATCATCAATCTAGACTCAAAATTGCCCCAAATCTGGACTAAAAATTTCCCGAATCTGGTCCCAAAACCCCCAGATCTGACCCCACCATCTCCCCAGGGGGACATGGGGTCTCAGGGGGACCCAAAACCATCCCAGAACTGGACCCAAAGCCCTCCTAGATGTGTCTCCAAGAATATCACCGATCTAGACTCAAAACTGCCCCGTATCTGCCCCCAAACCCCAATATCTGCCCCTTAAAACCCTCAGATGTCCCCCCCAAGATGCCTGCATCTACCCCAAGCCCCTAAATGTCACCCCCAAGACCCCTCAAATTGCCCCTCTTCCCCACTCACGATGGCCTGGTTGAACTTGGACTCGATCTCCCCCAGCAACCAGTCGAAGGCCTCCCCGCTGAGGCGGAACTCTTCCACCATGCGGCGGCTGCAGAGGGTGGAGCGGAGGTGGATGTTGAAGAGCAGCGTGGCGTTCTCCTGCGCCTGCCGGCTCAGCGGGTCGTCCCCGTTGACGATCACCAGCTTCCGGCTCAGCTCCTTCACCCCTGATGAAAATAAGAGGGGTGGGTTAAGGGGGGCAGAAGGTTCCTGGGGGTCCCCAAATCCCACAGCATCTTTGTGGAGCTCCTCAAGTCCCACAGAGCCTTCTTGGAGGTCCTGAGCACTTTCCTCAGCAACTTTGTGGAGGTCCTCAAGTCCCCTAGAACCTTTCAAGTCCCCTAGAACCTTCTTGGAGGTCCTTCACGTCCCTCAGCACCTTTGTGCAGGTCCTCAAGTCCCCTAGAACCTTCTTGGAGGTCCTTCACATCCCCCAGCACCTTTGTGCAGGTCCTCAAGTCCCACAGAACCTTCTTGGACGTCCTCAGCATGTCCCCCAGAACCTTTGTGGAGGTCCTCAAGTCCCCTAGAACCTTCTTGGAGGTCCTGAGCACTTTCCTCAGCAACTTTGTGGAGGTCCTCAAGTCCCCTAGAACCTTTCAAGTCCCCTAGAACCTTCTTGGAGGTCCTGCATGTCCCCCAGAACCTTTGTGGAGGTCCTCAAGTCCCCTAGAACCTTCTTGGAGGTCCTTCACATCCCCCAGCACCTTTGTGCAGGTCCTCAAGTCCCACAGAACCTTCTTGGACGTCCTCAGCATGTCCCCCAGAACCTTTGTGGAGGTCCTCAAGTCCCCTAGAACCTTCTTGGAGGTCCTGAGCACTTTCCTCAGCAACTTTGTGGAGGTCCTCAAGTCCCCTAGAACCTTTCAAGTCCCCTAGAACCTTCTTGGAGGTCCTGCATGTCCCCCAGAACTTTTGTGGAGGTCCTCAAGTCCCCTAAAACGTTCTCGGAGTCCTGAGCATGTCCCTCAGCACCTCTGTGGACGTCCTCGAGTCCCATAGAACCTTCTTGGAGGTCCTTCACGTCCCTCAGCACCTTTGTGCAGGTCCTTGAGTCCCCTAGAACCTTCTTGGAGGTCCTGAGCATGTCCCTCAGCACCTTTGTGCAGGTCCTCGAGTCCCCTAAAACCTTCTTGGAGGTCCTTCACGTCCCTCAGCACCTTTGTGCAGGTCCTTGAGTCCCCTAGAACCTTCTTGGAGGTCCTGAGCATGTCCCTCAGCACCTCTGTGGAGGTTCTTGAGTCCCCTAGAACCTTCTTGGAGGTCCTGCATTTCCCCCAGAAGCTTCTTGGGGGTTGTTAGGGTCCTCCAAGTCCCCTGGTACCTTCCTGGGTGTTCCCCAAGTCCCCCAGCACCTTCCTGGGGTTCCTCAAGTCCTCCAAGACCTTCCTGGGGATCATAGAGGTCCCCCGAGTCCCCCAGCACCTTCCTAGGCGTTACTGGGGTCCTCCAAGTCTCCTGGTATCTTCCTGGGGGGTCCTCAAGTTCCCCAGCCCCTTCCTGGGCATCACTGGGGTCCTCCAAGTCCCCCAGCACCTTCTTGGGGGGGGTCACTGGGTTCCTCAAGTCCCCCTGAACCTTCATGGAGGTCCTGCACATCCCCCAGCACCTTCCTGGGGGTCCTCAAGTCCCCCAGCACCTTTCTGGGGACTTTCGGGGGTCCTGAAAAATCCCCTAAGACCTTTTTAAGGGGGCATGGGGGTCCCCAGAGCCCCTGGTACCCTCCTGGGGATCCCCCCCAGCCCCCCCAACCCAACCTTTTGGGCTCAGGACCCCCCCCCCTCAATTTGGGGAGGGCACCCCAACTTACCCTCCACCACCTTGACGGGGTGCAGGTCGGAGGGGAGGCGTGAATTGATGTGGAAAATCTTCTGGGCGTTCCAGATCATCCGCAGCAGGTTACAGGGGAGCACGACCTGGTGGAGGGGGGAGAAACAGGGTCAGCACCCCAAAACCAGGGCTGTGGTGTGTGAATGTACTCAAAAAAACAGAGATTTGGGGTTGGCTTCCTCAAATTTGTGACATAGAGGGTGCCAGCACCCCAAAAAAGGGGGTCATCACCCCAGAATCAGGGCTGTGGGGGGTGAACGTACTCCAAAAAGTGGAGATTTGGGTTTGGTTTCCTCAAATTTGGGACACAGAGGGTGCCAGCACCCCAAAAAAGGGGGCCAGCACCCCAAAAAGAGCACCTACGTGGCAAAAGGGGTTCAGGGTTTCCTGCTACACCTCAAAAAAGGGATGAGGGAGGCAGGTAGCACCCCAAAACAGGCACCTGCAAAGAAAGGGGGCTTCACTGCTTCCTACTACACCCCAAAAAGGGGGCCAAGAAGGGGAGCAGCACCCCAAAACAGGCACCTGCAAAGAAAGGGGGCTTCACTGCTTCCTGCTACACCCCAAAAAGGGGGCCAAGAAGGGGGACAGCACCCCAAAACAGGCACCTGCAAAGAAAGGGGGGGGGTCACAGCTTCCTGCTACACCCCAAAAAGGGGGCCAGGGCAGGGGCAGCACCCCAAAACAGGCACCTGCAAAGAAAGGGGGGGTCACAGCTTCCTACTACACCCCAAAAAGGGGGTCAAGGCAGGGGCAGCCCCCCAAAACAGGCACCTGCAAAGAAAGGGGGGGGTCACAGCTTCCTGCTACACCCCAAAAAGGGGGTCAAGGCAGGGGCAGCCCCCCAAAACAGGCACCTGCAAAGAAAGGGGGGCGGC